TACACGGGGCATGGCCTAGGTATTTCGGACTAGGCTTCCTATTCCGAACTACCATTACTCCTCGTTTTGAGTAGTAACGGTAGTTCGGAATAGGAAGCCTAATCTGAACTACCTAGTCCGTGCCCCGTGTAACGCGCGGCACGGAGTCAGCACTAGCGGACATTTAAAAATGGCGCCGCCCGGCAAGATGCAAATGAAACCCGGGAAATTCAAATCCCAAGCTTCATTTGCAACTCTGGTTGCCTACATTACCACCCTAGTTCGAACTAGGGTGGTAGTGTAGACATACCCTTAGTTAGTACCACATTTACTAAGGGTACATCTAGACTACAGGGTTTTTTCAGAAAAATGGCTGTTTTTCAAAAAAAAGTCACCTACATCCACACTGCAATCGCGTTCTTTCAAAAAAAATTTTTAATGAACTTGGGTTTTTCCGACATTGGTAAACCTCATTCTACGAGGAAGAACACCTTTTCTGAAAGAGTTCTTTCAAGTAGGAATAAGAGATCCTCCGGAAAAGGGCTTTATTCCGGAGGATCGCGCCAGTCTAGACGCTTTTTTCCGGCTTTTCCCCAAGCCGGAAAAAAAGCGGCGGACATGTTTATTGAAATCCGCGGGGGATATTTAAATCCCCCGCAGATTTCCCTGTTCTGACTTACCTCCTTTGCATGACTATTCCGTTTTATGGGGCCAGTGTAGACGTAGCCTTCTTGTATTAGGCGGGATGTTAGGTTGGTCCCTTGGTCAGTCAAAATTTCCTTCGGGATCCCCACCCGGGCGAATATCTTAACCAGCTCTCCCGCGATCGTAGCCGCGGTGGTGTTTCTTAAAGGGACCGCCTCCGGGTATCAGGTTCGGTAATCGACTAAGACCATGAGGTATTGGTAGCCCGAGGCGGACTTTTCCATGGGGCCCACCAGGTCCAACCCCACTCGCTCGAAGGGGACGTCTACCACCGGGAGGGGCACCAATGGGGCCTTCAGGCATAGTCGTAAGTTGGTAGCCCGAGGCGGACTTTTCCATGGGGCCCACCAGGTCCAACCCCACTCGCTCGAAGGGGACGTCTACCACCGGGAGGGGCACCAATGGGGCCTTCAGGCATAGTCGTAAGTGGGTGTGTTGGCAGGTGGGGCAGGACTCGTAGAAGTCCTTTACAGCCTTGTATATACCGGGCCAAAAGAACCGTTGCGTAAGTCAGTGCAAGGTTTTTTCCTGGCCTAGGTGTCCAGCCCAGCAATTCGCGTGAGCGAGTTCTAGCACCCTATTGCGGTAGCGGCCGGGTACCAGTAGCTGTCGGACCCACCCCGGGTCCTCGGCCTCCCGGATTACCCGATACAAACAGTCCCTCCGTACCTCGAAGTGGGTTTCCTGTTGGTTAGTCTCATCATCCTCTTCGCCCCCCCTTGCCTGTTCCCAGGTCCGTACCAGGCATGGGTCGTTCTGTTGTTCATCAAGGAAGTCATGAGCGGTGACCCAGTCGGGTTCGACTTCGGTCCCCTCCATTGTGTCGACTTGTTGGCCAGCGTCCGACAGGTTCCTTGCCTGCAAAATTTTCCAGAAGCCAGGCCAGTCCCGCCCTAGGACTACCGGGTAGGCTAGCTGCGGGGCCAGGGCCACTTGACAAATGCCTTCCTCTCCCTGGCACTGTAGCCTCACCCAGGCCGTGGGGTAGGGTCGGACATCCCCGTGGATGCACCGCACCCAAATTGTGGAGCCAGGAGGCTCGGGGCTTGGGACTAACTCCGGGTGGACCATCGTCTGTCTGCACCCCAAGTCCACTAAAGCCTGTCTCGGCACCCCTTCCACCAGTACTTGGGTGGTTACTTTAGCTCCATGGTCAGGGCAAGGGGGCACTCCCATAGAGACCTCTTGCCCGAAAGAGCAATCCATGAAGGGGCATTCGTGCTTGAAATGCCCTTCCTGTCTGCACTCATAACATCGGGGACGGGGAGTTGTCGCTTCTACCGCCCCTCCCCCAACTCCCTCTGGTCGATGTACCCCTACGCCTATATTTTCTGGGGGTCCCTCTTTTCCTACCTCCGGCCCTCGCCTGGCCACCCCTCGGCCTAGGTCCCAGCGTGCCTGTCCCCTTTCGGGACGTGCTCGGCCCCTCAGCGGTCGGTCCGCCCGGCCCTCTCTGTCCCCTCTTCCGGGGCCTCCGCGCGTCTCGGCCGCCATGTAATTCTCCATTAGGGCGACCGCATCTGTCAGGACTGGTGGACAGTGCCTGCGTACCCACTGCTGGGCCCCTGGGGGAAGAATCTGCAAGAACTGTTCTAATGCTACTGCGTCCGCTAGCTGGGTGCTATCTTGCCTCTCCGGCTCCAACCATCGCCAGCCCAGTTCTTTTAACTTCTGCGCCACGGCTTGCGGCCAGGCCCCCTGGGGGTATCGCTCCGCCCTAAACCTCTGTTGGTAGGTTTCTGGTGTCACCCCTATCTGGTTTAATATGGCCTCTTTGACCTTGTAATATTTCAAGGCGTCCTGGGGGCTTAAACTCCTGTAGGCCAATTGCGCTGGTCCCGTAAGGTAGGGGGCCAAAAGCGTGGCCCAATGGTCTTCGGGCCAGCGGGCTGCTAAGGCCACCCTTTTGAAAGTTACCAAGTACGCTTCGGGGTCATCCAGCGGTCCCATCTTGGTCAGCCTGATCGGCAGTTGGGCCGCTCCCCCGAGTCCCTCATCTCTATCTCCGACCAGTCCGGCCGCGATTCCCTGGCCTACCCCTTGCTGCAGCCACCTCTCCTGCTGTTGAGTCATTTTCCTCACTAGCTGGCGCTGCTGTTCTTTGCCTTGGGTGGCCAGCTGCTGTAGCAACTGTACCTGGTGCTGTTGCTGTAGCGCCTGCTGCTCCTTGAGACACTCAAAAATTTGTGCCGGGTCCATGGTGGCGGCTCTCCTCCACTTATCCCGCGGGAGGCGCCCTCTACCCCTTGTGGGATTCTCTGCCGTCTTGAGCCTTGGTTGGGGTTGAGTTTTTGGGGGGGCACCCCCTCTAGTCTAGGGGCTTAGTGCCTATATTCTCCACCATTTGTAACGGTCCCAGCCCCTATCTTGGGGAGAGGGGTCATTATCTTTCACTGTCTCGCTTCTTGAATAATCCCCTGGTATCCGACCAGGGCGGAGGGGGGCCTGGGCCCGCCCCCTCTCCTGGTCCCAGCCCAGGACCCTAAGGGAGTGCGTCTGAGGCACGCTGCCCGACTGGGGGGGCTATGGCCACAACGCACCGGTCCCCGGGGTTTCCGACCCCGTCCTGGGCTGCTTCCTCCGACCCTTTCGGGTCCGTATGTCTCAGTCTGGTTCAGCGGGATGCCAGGGGTGACTCACCCTCTCGGGCCGTGGGACACTCGATTGCCTGTCCTGGGTCCACCGTCGGTCCTGCCGCCCCGCCGCCGTCCGTGGTGGTTGTCCATTCTCCGTCCCGCCGGAGCTCCCTCGTTTTCCCCTTTGCACCCTGGCCATCCAGCTTTTAAACCTGGCGCCCCTGCTCAGGGACACCGGCGCATGCCCCCTGTGGGAGGGGCTGGGCGAGTGCATGGGCAGCCCATCAGGGGGAGCTCCTGTGCCTGCGCCGGCAGCCGTCCCTGGGCCGGTGCATTAGAGCCACTCGGGCGTCCCAGCGGCAGGTTCCTGCGGCACCCCTGGCGCGGGGCTCAGGGTTGGGGCTTGAACTCCCCGCCGCCCTGCCCCCGCCCCCGCCGGCAGCCGCCGCCGAACAGGCACGGCAGAACCGCTCAGGTGTCTCGGCACCTGTCCCCCGTGGTGCCCCAGTGCGGGGTGCGGGGTTGGGGCTCGTGATCCCCGCCGCCCCGTCACAGTAGTCTAAATTACATACCTCATTGAGTTTTAGTGCATCTAATTTGAAGTTATGACCGCCAGTATTGTACCCTTCACTTTTTAAGATTGTGTACATTTGTGGTTTACATTGGATAACTTCCCTGTTCAAATAGGCTTCAGCTACACTGCAGGGTTTTTGCACAAGAAGCCTTTTGCAGAAGAGTTCTTCCACAAAAACTTCTTGCGCAAAAGCACGTCCAGAGCTCAAAGCGCATCACAAAAACGATGTGCTTTTGCGCAAGAGAGTGTCCACATTGCATGGATGTTCTTGTGCAAGAAAGTTCTGATTGTGGCTCACAGAATGGCCATCAGAGCACCCATGTTTTTGCCGATAGGCAAACAGTTGTTCTTGCGCAAACACTTTGTAGTGTAGACGTAGCCATAGTGACAAATGTAAAGCATCTGTAATAATTTGATGATAAAGGTGGCTATGATATGGAAACAGACTGAGGAATAAACACACGTGATACTTTAAGATGAGAACAGAAGATACACCCAAACTGTTCTGGCCTATTTTGACAAAGGTTTTCAATTGTGTACACAGGATATGCTGCACTTAAAAAACTGTGTGCACGTGAGTTTATGAAAGCATACAGCATATTGACAGGCTCCTGTCCGTGGCAAAACACTTATCTCTTTCAGGAAACATTGCACATTCTAAGGAAGTTGCTTGCTGACATTTCAGAATTAAAAGACAAGTAACTTATGGAAGGACATGAGATAACACACAAAGTCTGCTTAGAATATAGTGTATTTTTAACAATCTTAGTTTGGACGGTGTTAAAAATAAGTTGAAATTATTTGCATTATATGGTGTTAATCTAGATCAAAATTTGTTAAAATGCTTTAGACATTGTGAAGAATTGAAAATTTTAAAAATATGCAGTAATCATTCCGTTAAAGAATGTTAACTTTTGTCTTTTTAGTTTGCTTTTAATCTTAAGATGTGATTTGTCTTATCCCCATTATGGTTTACTGAAAGCTCTAATATTCTAAAGCTGAGAAAACAGTATACATAAATGACACAAAAGCCTTGAAAATTTCACCGTACAGTTGTTCATTCATTCTGTCTTTAGTTGAGCAAAATTCCTATTCTTGCCAAATAGAGTTTTGCCTAAATTTTACCCATATTTTTCAACAATAGATCCCACAAAATGTTTGGAAATATAATCTACCTTTCCTCAGCAATACATTATATGAAAAAGTTAATATTATCCTGTAACAGAAGCATTTCTTGAAAATTCCAGTATGTAGAAGACATGAGGCCAGCTGGCTCCCTAATGTAGGCTCGTTCAGCTCTGTTAACTTCACTAGAGTTATGTGTATTTGCCCTCTGCTATATCTGGCTAATGAAGTGCTGGATTTCCGGAAGCAAATAAGGAAACCTCCCCTGGTGATAGCTCACAGGACATTGGCCAGTTGGCACCCACTGGGAGGAAGGCAGGCTGCTACAAATGTTCACTTAAGTGAATCAATAGCCCACTACAAATCTTTTCTCCTCTAATGGGGTCTGATCCTGCACCATTGATGTCAAAGGAAAATTTGCTACTTGCTTCAATGGCAGTAAGATCAGGCATATAAAAAGAGTTTTAGTTGTTTGAAGTTAGTATAAAGAGTAAGGTAAGGCTGTGCTACCACACTAAGTCAACTTAAGGTACATCGACTCCAGCTCCTCAAGTCAACTTACTACAGTAGTGTAGACATTCTAGGGTGACTCAAGAAGCTAGAGTCAATGTACCTTAGGTTGAGTTACTGTGGTAGTGTAGACATAATCTAACACATTTAAATTTTAGAGTTTTTTATGTCTACACTACCAAGAAAGTTGACCTAAAATTGCTGGAGTCCGTGTACCTTTGGTCGACTTACTGTCATGTCTTCACTACAGGAGGTACTCTCTCAGGGTATGTCTACACTACCACCCTAGTTCGAACTAGGGTGGTAATGTAGGCAACCGGAGTTGCAAATGAAGCCCGGGATTTGAATTTCCCGGGCTTCATTTGCATATAGCCGGGCACCGCCATTTTTAAATGTCCGCTAGTGCGGACTCCGTGCCACGCGGCTACACGCAGCATGGACTAGGTAGCTCGGACTAGGCTTCCTAGTCCGAACTACCATTACTCCTCGTGAAACTAGGGTGGTAGTGAAGACATACCCTCACTGAGTGACTTTATGCTTTTCATTTGGGGTAGAGCACTGTGGTTGACTGAAGAGTGATCTGCAGTGAATTTGGTGTATCTTTACTAGACCCATTAAATTGACATTCCTTGGCCCCAGTGCATCGCTCTGGAGCTGTAGTAGAGACATAGCCTTAGAGACCAGTCAGTTACTGCTCTTTACATAATTATATTTGAAATTAAAAGCTTGCCGGTACCATTATTTTTTTCTCTTTTGCAAGGCTTTTCCCCAAGATATTTGAAAAGAAAGAGTTCAGATATCCTCCCAAATATAGATTTGAGTTTATCATAGCAGGGTCAGATTTAGTATGAAAGAAACTGTAGCATTCTTCAATAGCTCATTCTAAACACAATATTTTCCAATGCTATATTTTCTTTTTCTTTTTCTTTCATCTTATCAGTGGAAAGTCAAATGGGGAGCACGACTGTGAATCGTCTGCTTTGCTCTTGACACAGAGTTGTTCAGAGATCAACCATGAGACAAAAGCCAAGATAGAAGAGGAAGCTTATAACAAAGGGTGAGAGTGTTTATGTTAACTGAATTCCCCTCAAGGTGTTTACCAGTTTAGAGTGTGTCCTTTAATAATATAAAGCAACTGTAAGTGTATATGCACTTCTCCATGAAGTTGATGGTCAAATACTTCAATATGAGTGGTTCATAGAAACAACACTTACTGAATTCTCCTAAAAGGACAAAGCCTACTATCAACAATATGTTGATGTGTGATGTGTAAATAAATAATTTAGGATAAAAACAATAAAGTAATTCTTATAATGTGCAATCATTTTAATGTCTCTACAATGTACCAATATACTTAGTGTTTATTTTACTGTCCTATATACTAACTTGCCCAGCACCATGTGAGGTAGCACTTTCTTAAGAAACTAAGGAACACAATTTTATTACAGCTATAAAAACAAAAAAAGCTAAATAAAAATTGACAATTAAAACAGTAGCTAACCCAAGTAGCTATGCTCTACCATTGATCATACCTTGAAACTCATTAGTGTAAGCTAGTGGTTCTGAGACAGCGGGTTGGGACCACAGAGTGGGTCACAACCCCATTTTAATGGGGTTACCAGGGCTGACTTAGACTTGCTGTGGCCCAGGGCTGACACCTGAACTTCACCCCCTAAGGCTGAAGCAGAAGCCCAAGGCTTCAGCCCTGCTGGTGGGGCTTGGGGCCTTGGCTCCCCACCCAGGATGGAGGGACTCAATCAGGCTCAGGCTTCACTCCCCCATCTCGGGATTGTATAGTAATTTTTGTTGTCAGAAGGGGGTCACAGCAGTGTTCCCTGTAAGCTAAGCAGTTAGGTGACTACCCAGGCAAGACTCAGGTGCTGCCCAGCTGATTAGCAGAGTGCCCAGAGTCAGCAGCATGTGTTTCTACTGCTGGTACACATTCCCATTTACCTCAGTTCACATAACAAAATCTATTCCACACACAGATAGGAAAAAGGAACACTGGGTCACAGTTCAAAAAGGTTAGGAAACTCCTGGTCTAATCTGTGGTTTCAACAAACTCTCAAAAGGAGCAATTTCCAAGGCAGGATTTCTCAACTGAGAAAACCCTTACTTCCAGCCCTGAAGAATTTTTCACTAGGAACCAATAAACCTCACAGGATGACTCTTCTTAACTGTTGCAATAGAATACTGGGCAAAAGGTTTTATCTCTAATTACTGTATCCCAGGCCAACCAGCTGCAGAGATTATCATCAACATTTAAATCTGCACCCAGAAGCAAACAGGAATCCATAGGTGAACTAGGAATGTAAGAGTTTAACTGTTTAACTTATAAGCTAATGCTTATCAGTTCTGGTTACAGGTTAAACTTCTACTGCCAGCCCAGGGTGCTGGGAGCCCACAGTACCAGCAACCCACAGGGCTAGGACCCTGCATGGCCGACAGCCCAGGGGGCTGGGAGCCCCTGTGAACCTGCAGGGCTGGAGGAGCTGGCAGCCAGTAAGACCCTGCAGTACTGGGAGCCCGCATCTGGCATCCCATAGGGCAGCAGGGCCAGCTGCTGGCAGGATTAGTGTCTTGCAGGGCTACTGGCGGGTTAAAAAATATCAATTAAATTGTAATTGGTTACACAATTAGTATTTCTAACCCTTTTTACATCTCTAAAGTGAACATGGTCACAGCAACTCATCCTAGGCTGTATTGAGCATGCACTGGAGTTTCTGAGTGAACTCTGAGGGTAGCACTACATGAAATGTTTTGCATTAGTCCAAACTGGAAGTAACTTGATCCTGGATAACATGCAAAGTCAGCAATATATAGAAACGTTTGCGGCCTCCTATACGTCTCTATTTGAGGAAAGACTTTATGGGACCTTACAACTTTCCAAGATCAGGAGATCTACAATAGCAACTCCGAGGACATGAACCCAGTTGGTGAACACAGGACAGTTTTCCTGCAGATCAGTTCCATTTTATCTGAATTGAGCCACACTTAGTCCCCCTTAACTCCCATGCCAAGCTTGCTCAGACATTAATTGGGATAGTAGTACAACTGTAGACTCTGGGCTCAGGGAAAAGGAGATGTGAAGCTGAATATCATCAGTGTTGTAATGATAGAAGAGTCCAAAACATCTCCCTCAGGCCTTGATCCTGCAAAGGGCACAGCAGAGTTTATGTGCCAGCACAAGGCTGAGCAGAGAATGTATATGGGCCGGAGTAAAACTGAGGACTTGTCATCACATTTTGCACAAAACAGTCATAAGTCTCATACCCGTTGTGCACCTGCTCCTGTGTTCACAAGAGCTCAGAGTAATAAATGGACAGTGGTCCTAGCTGTGTTCAAGTGCAGACTACAGACAAAGCGCCACCACCCTGTAAAGGACAAGGAAAGGCACTGAATTCATCCTAAAGAAGCAAATGATAATAGTATATCTAGCAATTGCTTCCAGTCCTACATCAAAAATAAAGTCCAGAGTGTGTCTAAGGGTATGTCTACACTGTAGAGTTTTTCCAGAAAAACTACACTTATGTCCACACTGCTATTGCATTCTTTCCAGAGAAAGTCAAAAGAATGAAAGGGTTTTTTCTGATAGCAGTAAACCTCTTTCTATGAAGAAAAAGCCTTTTTCTGAAAAAGGCGAGTGTGGATGCAGAAGAGAGTGTTTTTTTGAAAGAAGAGGAAAAAGCACAGGTGCCCTGGTGGCCACTCCGTCCACAGTAATCACAACTGAACTGTGAGATAGCGTCCAAATCAGTTTGGATGCTGTCTTCTGAAAAAGCAGATCGCTTTTTTGTTGCATTTTTGCTCTGTGGATGCTCTTTTTCAAAAGAAGTTTTTCTGGAAGATATCTTCTGGAAAAGCTTCTTCCAAAAGAAGCCTGCAGTCTAGACGTAGCCTAAGTGAGTTGAAACCCATATTTGCAAGGGGATGGACTCAGGGATCTGGAAGCTTTTTCTAACTAAAGTTAATCTATGTTGGAGAAAAGGACAGTGGGAACAGGTAGTATCCATACAACAGTGTTATTTCGGAATAATTGACATTATTTCGAAACAACATAGTTTGTTACACAGCAAGCTGCTATTTTAAAATAATGTCAAGTTGGAGGACTTCTTACTCGGACTCCTGTAACCTGCATTTCATGAGGAGTAAGGGAAGTCAAAGAAAGAGTGTTCTTCCTTCCGAGTGTTCTTCCTTCAAGTTGCTGCTGTGTAGGCAGCACCAGAAGCCAAGTTAAGCTATTTTGACTTCAGCTACACAATTGGCATAGCTGAAGTTACGTATCTTATTTTGACTTTTGCCCTGCAGTGTAGATAGTGGCCTCGGCCAATATTTTCCTATTGCTCAGGCACCACAACACAAGTATTTGTATTTTATTCAATATGTTGACTGAATGGTCAGTTCTTCACTGAACAAGACAGAGGCATTTACCTGGCATGTCTAGATTACAAATATGTTGTGTGTTTAAAGTTATCAGGAAGGCTTAAAGATAACCAAAGAACTTCATGAGCTGAAAGAGGAAGATGAGAAAATAAATGAAACCTCTGATGGGCATGAAGAAAGTGAAAATGAAGAGATAAATAACATGAAAAACAGGTAAGAATCCAGTGTGGTGCATCTACCAAGAGGCCAGTTTAATTTGAAAGACACAGCTGAATACTTCACAGCCACATCTCACAGTATTTGTTGGCTTCCCTCCATGAATACTTTTTGAAGGTTGCAGCTAAATAATAGTCTCAAAAGGCAGGTCCTGAAAGATAATCCATGGCCTTGGGAAGATTTAGATGCTCCTCTCCTCTCAAGATCAGGCGTTCAGTTGGTGCAGGTACCAGTTGCTCCAGTAGATGAGAATTTGCAGACGGAAATGGGTGCAAGTGTGCAGAGAAAGCCCTACATTCTGCCTCTGGGGGATGTATCAGTGCAAACCCTTCTTTCACACGCACCCCATCCAAGTGCAGCTCACACTTAACTGTCATAAGAACATAAGAATGACCATACTGGGTCAGACCAAAGGTCCATCCAGCCCAGTATCCTGTCTGCTGACAGTGGCCAGTGCCAGCTGCCCCAAAGGGAGTGGACCGAATACAATGATCAAGCAATTTGTCTCCTGCCATCCTTCTCCAGCCTTTGACAAACAGAGGCCAGGGGCACCATTCCTTACCCCCTGGCTAATAGCCTTTTATGGACCTAACCTCCATGAATTTATCTAGCTCTTTTTTAAACTCTGTTATAGTCCTAGCCTTCACAGCCTCCTCTGGCAAGGAGTTCCACAGGTTGACTGTGCGCTGTGTGAAGAACTTTCTTTTATTAGTTTTAAACCTACTACCCATTAATTTCATTTGGTATGCTCTAGTTCTTATACTATGGGAATAAGTAAATAACTTTTTTTTATTCACCCTCTCCACACCACTCATGATTCTATAGACCTCTCTCATATCTCCCCTCAGTCTCCTCTATTCTAAACTGTAAAGTCCCAGTCTCTTTAGCCTCTCCTCATATGGGACCCGCTACATGCACGCAACCCCCTTGCATGTGCCTCACACATACAAAGACCCCTGTGCATGCCTCCCATAGGCACACATACAGAAGGTGCATCTATGCTGCACCCGGAGCTCAAAATAAGCTACGCAATTTGAGCTACACAAATTGCATAGCTTATTTTGAGTCAATTTTGAAATAGCTTATTTTGTCATTTGGCGTTGTCTGCACAGCACCAAATTTCAAAATAACCCGCTGTTCTGAAACTCTCCTTACTCCTCGTGGAATGAAGTTTACAGGGATGTCGGAATAGCGAGCCCGTTATATTTTGAAATAATGGGCTTGCTGTGAAGACGCAGGAGAGCTATGTTGGGATACTGCCGGTATTCTGAAATAGTGCTGCAGTGTAGTCGTAGCCAAAGCGCCCTGTGCACATACCTCACACAAAGCCCCCTCTGCACATACCCCACACACACATGCAGCCCCTGTGCACACACCTTACAATCACAGCACCCTGTACCTAGCGGGCAAGCTCGCGAGCTTGCTTCTTCCACTGCAGACAGCTCTGTACCGCTGGCACCGGCAAAGACCGAGTATGGTTTGCCTTTAATCTTCCGTGGGTGGTGTGCTGTGTTTCTTGTGCATCCGTGCTGTGCTGTGTTCTCGTTGGATGTTCTCTGAACTAACCGTGTTGTTTCTCTAGCAAACTAACTTGCCTGCTAACTGCTCCAGCAAGGGCACTAGGGTGACAAGGTGAAAGGAGGAGCAGGAGCCCCTGGGAGCAGCGCAGGCTGGTGCCACGGGGAAAGGGGGAGCCCTGGATTAATAATGTGTCACTGTTTAGACTTCCCAGTAGCCCCCTCCTATTCTTGATTCTCTTGGGACAGGGCTCAGGATTGATTCCTTGTGGCAAAAAGGGGCCTTAATTCGAATTAGCTGTTAAACCTCATTCCAGGAGAAATAACAGCTAATTCAAGTTAGGGCTTTTCTTCGAACTCCCCTTTCACTGCCGCGTGTAGATGCGGGCAGTTATTCCGGGCTAGCCAATTTCCAAAAATGGCGAGTGCCCGGGAACATGCAAATGAAGCCCGGGATATTTAAATCCCGGGCTTCATTTGCAACTCCGGTGGCCCTCATTTGCCTACCTAGCTTGAACTAACGAGCTAGTGTAGACATACTCTAATAGCTTAGTAAGACATGATTTCCCTTTACAGAAACCATGTTGACTTTTGCCCAACAAATTATGTTCTCTATGTGTCTGACAATTTTATTCTTTACTATTGTTTCAACTAATTTACCTGGTACTGATGTTTGCCAGGGTCGCCTGTAGAGCCCTTTTTAAATATTGGCGTTATGTTATCTGTCTTCCAGTCCTTGGGTACAGAAGCTGATTTAAAGGATAGGTTACAAACCATAGTTAATAGTTTTGCAATTTCACATTTGAGTTCTTTCAGAACTCTTGGGTGAATGCCATCTGGTCCCGGTGACTTGTTACTGTTAAGTTTATCAACTACTTCCAAAACCTCCTCTAATGATACTTCAATCTGTGACAAGTCCTCAGACTTGTTACAAAGTATGGGTCAGGTATGTTTGGGAATCTCCCTAACATCCTCAGCCGTGAAGACTGAAGCAAAGAATTCATTTAGTTTCACTGCAATGACTTTATCATCTTTAAGCGTTCCTTTTGTATCTCGATCGCCCAGCGGCCCCTCTGGTTGTTTAGCAGGCTTCCTGCTTTTGATATACTTAAAAAACATTTTGTTATTACCTTTGGAGTTTTTGGCTAGCTGTACTTCAAACTCCTTTTTGGCTTTTCTTATTACATTTTTACACTTAATTTGGCAGTGTTTATGCTTCTTTCATTTTACCTTACTAGGATTTGACTTCCACTTTTTAAAAGATGTCTTTTTATCTCTCACTGCTTCTTTTACATGGTGGTTAAGCTATGGTGGCTCTTTTTTTAGGTCTCTTACTATGTTTTTTAATTTGTGATATACATTTAAGTTGGGCCTCTATTATGGTGGCTTTAAGAAGTTTCCATGCAGCTTGCAGGGATTTTACCCTAGTCCCTGTGCCTTTTAATTTCTGTTTAACTAACCTCCTCATTTTTGCATAATTCCCCTTTTTGAAATTAAATGCCAGAATGTTGGACTGCTGAGGTGTTCTTCCCACCACAGGAATGTTAAATGTTATTATATTATGGTCACTATTCCCAAGCGGTCCTGTAATAGTTACCTTCTGGACCAGATCCTGCGCTCCACTCAGTACTAAATCGAGAATTGCCTCTCCCCTTGTGGGTTCCTGTACCAGCTGCTCCAAGAAGCAGTCATTTAAGGCATCGAGAAATTTTATCTCTGCATCTTGTCCTGAGGTGACAAGTATCCGGTCAATATGGGGATAATTGAAATCCCCCATTATAATTGAGTTTTTTATTTTGATAGCCTTTCTAATCTCCCTCAGCATTTCAACATCACCATCACTGTCCTGGTCAGGTGATCGATAATATTTCCCTACTGCTATATTCAGAACAGTGCAGGGCAGGGAGCATGGACTTGCCTCGTTTGCACCCCTACTTGACTGCTTAGGTGTTCCTATAGTCTCCCATGGGAATTTGAATAACCAAGCATAGTTCAGCCTTGAGAGTTACAGGCAACAGTCTTTAGAAATGTGTCCCTTAGTATTTTCAGGGATATGCAAATACCTTCACAAAAGCATACTCCTGCCAACATAGGCAGGCAGGACTCTATCACAAAAAATGTATTTCTCAATGTATACATTAAGGCTACGTCTACACTGGCATGAATTTCTGAAAATGCTTTTAACGGAAAAGTTTTCCATTAAAAGCATTTTCGGAAAACCACATCTAGATTGGCAGGATGCTTTTCCGCAAAAGCACTTTTTGCGGAAAAGCATCCGCGGCCAATCTAGACGCGGTTTTCTGCAAAAAATCCCCGATTGCCTTTTTCGCGATCGGGGCTTTTTTGTGGAAAACAGTACTATGCTGTCTACACTGGCCCTTTTGCGCAAAAGTCTTTCGGAAAAAGACTTTTGCCCAAACGGGAGCAGTATAGTATTTCCGGAAAATCACTGACGATCTTACATGAGATCGTCAGTGCTTTTCCGGAAATTCAAGCGGCCAGTGTAGACATCTGGCAAGTTTCTCCGCAAAAACTTGCCAGTCTAGACACAGCCTAAGAGAACCACCCAAGAAAGCTCTACATACAGAGCAAAGGGTTTCTTGCTTAAATAAAAGCAACATTTCACAGATGTGCATCATATAAACACCTGCAAAAGATAATACTGATTGAGATGTGAGCAGTAGTATTTGAAGGCTTCAATATCTGAGATATAGGTCAGATGATTATTCTAGGAGAGGTGGGTGAGATTTTGTGGCCTGCACTGTGCAGGGGGTCAGACTAGATGATCATAATGGTCCCTTCTGACCTTAATGTCTATGAGTCTATGAGATAATGTGCAGTTAAGAAATCTATTTTAATGTGTACTTCTGCATTATTTACATATTTAAAGATCAATTAAATAAAAATAAATTTAGCTCCTTTTGGCTTCCAAGTCTACAAAATGGCTGAAAAGCCCTGTTAAATAAACCTCTATGGCCGTGGTCACCAACCAGTAGATCGCGATCTACCAGTAGATCTCAGGGGCTCTAAGAGTAGCTCTTGAGCTCTTGAGCCCTCTCTGAACTGCGCTCCTGCGCAGTACATTTACATTAGATTTCCTCATTTGAGGAGCAGCTACTCACCGAGCAACAACACAGGTGAGTAGCTGCGAGGAATGGTGGGAGCTGGGATGTCGGGAGGGCTGAAACACCCCAGCCAGCTGACTGTGGCTTTCAGCTGAAAGAGGCTGCCCTGTGCTCCAGCTGATTGGCGGCTTCTCCTCTGCGCCTGCCTACATGGAGTTGGTGCACCCTGGCTGCGCACCATGGCCAGCTGGCCGGGCAGCTGCTTCTCTGGTCCAGCCCATGTGGAGTGTGGTGCACCCTCGCTGAGCTTCAGGGAAGGAGCTTCAAGGAAGGAGTGGGGTGGTAGATCTTGGCTTGGTCTGTCATTTAAAAAGTGATCTTGGGTGTAAAAAGGTTGGAGATCACTGCTCTACGGTGTGTTTAATACAGCTAAGCCAAAATCAGAATTTTAGTGCCATGAGAAAATTTAATATATCAACATCTGCTTTTATCCCTAATTGGGACACAATGTTGAAAAAACAAAATATTCCAAAAATTTCAATTGGGAAATAACTAAACACTTTTGACATTTTTGAGCATTGTTATTTTTCCAAATCAAAAAGTTCTATTTTGGTTTGTTGAACTGACCCAAGACATTCGGTATCAAATCACATCATTATTAATATTCTTTAATGGGACTTTAGAGTCCAGGAATGGACACCTAACCTGAAGCCTTTGATGCATAATTTAAAAAGCTTGGTGTGACTTATTGCCCTCTCCTCTTGGGGGTAAGCTGAGTTCTTGGGAGGATGTACCCATTCTATTTGATTGTATTGCACATTCTTATATTTTTAAAAACAGACATTTGCACATTACAGAAGCACAGAACAGAGATTAAAGCAGGTAGGACATCTGGCCATAAGCTGAGGCACATCTAAGAGGAACCCAAAGATCTGAAACCTCTTCATTCTAGGGTTCACCATATTTTGTCCTGTAATTCACCCTTCTTCTAAATCTCTGAAAATACGTGGCTGATACCTGATTCAAAGGTCAGCCTTCCTATTGGCAGGTAACCGAGACTTAAGTTGGAAAGGCACTTTTCTAAAATTATTTAATTTAATTAAGCAAATTATGATATAAACAGCACCTGAATTATTGTCAGATTCTAGTAATGGGACTACACTTTTGAAAGAGAGAGAAGCAGGAGAATCCAAGTCTGTCCCTGTGCAGGACTCTGGAAAAGTAACTCACTTAATGTCAATCTATGTTTCAGTATATATTTGTAAAAAGGACATTATAATATGGTTCTTATCAAGCAGAGAGTGTATTAGTCCTTGAACAAAAATGATATAGTATCTAATTGCAAAGTTATTAGTAGTCAAGTATTAAGGTAATTGACTTGTGTATGATAATTATAGAAGAACACTTATATCTCTTTTTCATTTTACAGCAAACTTGAAGTTGTTATTCATTATTTACATATACTGTACCCAAAACTGGGTAAACACTGGAACGCGGTCTGGATTGTAGCAGCTGTGGTAATCGTTTTTGCGGCGCTGTTGGGGATCTACCATTCATACAACTCCTGTGTTGAATTATCAGAAGGACCGAAGGGGAAAGCCACCTGTTCTGCTGTCCAGCAATACTCCTGGTGGAACTCAGGACTTCAGCATGAGCAAGGAACAGAATAATAAACAAATGATACACTACTTATGGTACACCAATGAGCACATACTTTAAAACATAGTTGTTAAAGTAAGGTTGCATTTTGACATTTTCTGGTTGCCAAATGTGATCAGTAAGCCACACTAGTTGTTCTACACCATCAGGCTTGGGAATGGATTGTGCTTTACCTAGTGAAACTGATCATCAGATAAATGCTCCTTTTATCATGATAAGTGTATCTGACTGATATGACATCCTATGGATAAAGTCACATTTAAATCATGCAAAGATTGTGACAGTCACCAGCAATAGCCAGGATATTCAAAGGGAAGATTGAGACCTTAATTCATACACTTTTGAGGAAGGCCATAAACGCTACCAGCTATAGAGCACTTGATTTAACTTTGCATTTCTGGCTTTTATTGTTTGATGTCATAATTTTCACAGAAGAGATATATACGATTTTTTAACATATAGTGTCCATGTCTAGAACAGGGGGAGGGGAGGCAGGGGAAGGAAGACCTCCTGTTGAAGACAAAAATATTATACTAGGCTAAATTTATCCTTGGTGTGTTGCCATAACATGAGTTACACCAGAGGAGAGGTTGGCCCAATAATCATGCAACAATGCAAAATGGAATGCTGACTAAATGTGTGTTTTGTATTGTTTTTCAGAATGTATTGCAAGAGGGAAACTGGTCCATTGTTTTAATAGGGCTTTTGTGAAGGGCTAAATCCGGGTCTGGGTGCACAACAGACAAAGTGTTCAGTATATCTCAGACCCTCTTAGAACATAAGAGTGACCAGACTGAGTCAAACCAACAGTTCATCCAGCCCACTATCCTGTCTGCCGACAGTGGCCAATATCAGATGCCCCAGATGGAGGGATCACAACAGGTAATCCTCATGTGATCCCTTCCCTGTCACCCACCTCCAAAGAAACAGAGGTTAGGAACACCATTACTACCCATCCTGGCTAAAACTCTTTCTCCAAGGAACATGCTGGCTACATCTACACTGGCATGATTTTCTGAAAATGCTTTTAACGGAAAACTTTTCCGTTAAAAGCATTTTTGGAAAAGCACGTCTAGATTGGCAGGATGCTTTTCGCCATTTTCGCGATCGGGGCTTTTTTGTGGAAAACAGTACTGTGCTGTTTACACTGGCCCTTTTGCGCAAAAGTCTTTCGGAAAAAGACTTTTGCCTGAATGGGAGCAGCATAGTATTTCCGGAAAAGCACTGACAATCTTACATGAGATTGTCAGTGCTTTTCCGGAAATTCAAGCGGCCAGTGTAGACAGCTGGCAAGTTTTTCCGCAAAAGCAAATGATTTTGTGGAAAAACTTGCCAGTCTAGACACAGCCGCTGTGTGGTTCATTTTGCTGCTCTTCTGAACAAGACTGCAATGCAGTCCCCACTAGCAATCCTCACTAGCAAAATAATTGCTGCTGGGCAGATTAGACATAACTGCTACGGCTCAGACCATAGCAGACTAAGGCCAGATGTGAAGGCCAGCAGGTGGACTATGAATGGACTCTGTCCTGCTTCTTGCACTATGTCCCCCTCCTCCCTTTGCACACCATCATAGGTCTAGGAGAACTGAGCTCGGGGAGTGTTTAAAATGCTTACTGATTTACTGACCTGATGTAAAAAGATCATTACCACAGTCAGCAGCTCATTTTAGAATCAAATGTGTTAACTATTCTCGTAGATTTTCAAATCTCCAACAAGTTATTAGGCCATTACAGATTAATCCTTTTTAAAAAGGATTTTAAATTTTAGAAGCTCCCAGAAGGATTAACTAAAAATGTCTGGCACTTAAAGAGTATATCGTACGTACCTGCAGAACTTGAGTTGGGATTCCCAGTTAGTCTTTCAGTTGCTATGCACTTGGAAGCAGCTGAATGTTCGAAGTGGGCGTGACACTGGGGTACATTGTTGGGTACCCAAAGTGTCGGTGTTTTGTAGGCCTATGAATCTAGTTTTCAGAGTGACTAACGACAGTTTACCCTTGGGAAAGATAAGGAAGCCATGTGCAGTACAGAATTCTGGCTTATCTGCAGCCAGTAGCAGCTTGTTTTCTTTCAATACAGTCCCCAAACTCTCAGCAAATTAAACTAACTGGGAGAATGAAGGTTTTTAACAGACTCAAAAGTGTTTTAACTCCATTTTTTCCCATCAAAAATAACACTAAAACTCTGGAGAGATGTGTCTCTTTATGTTAACTAACTCAATTTTTTACCGCATTTTTCAGAAAGAGATTGCTACAGGAAAACATCAGATGGCCACAACTGTTCCTAAACAAATTGTGCTTGATTTAATCATTTGGGTATCTTTAGAAAAAAGAAGAAAAATAGCTCTGGAGGAGTAAAAGCATCAAAATGAATAAGGAAGGTCCATATGGCTAAAGGGAATGTACCATTTGTTCTTTAACTATAAGCAGCAAAGAATCAGAAAATAAATAATTGTGTTTTTAATAATTTTCTATCAGGCCTTCTCACTGCAGCCAAACAGATTCATATTCCTCCATTCCAAATGACAGACTTTACTCAAATGATGAAATTAGTATGTTAGGGGACTTGAGCATTGGTGTGATTAAGTGCTCTTTACAAACAAAGTATTGGTACTAGTAATTCCTGGGAATCACTCTGGGCCAAGTACCTCTGGGTATGTCTACACTACAATGTTAGTTGGAACTAACAGACGTTAGTTTGAACTAACATTCATAGGCGCTACACTAGCGCTCCGCTAGTTCGAATTTGAATCGAACTAGCGGAGCGCTTAGTTCGAACTAGGAAAATCTCATTTTACGAGGATTAAGCCTAATTTGAACTAGCTAGTTCGAATTAAGGGGTGTGTAGCCCCTTAATTCGAAGTAGTGGGAGGCTAGCCCTCCCCAGCTTTCCCTGGTGGCCACTCTGGCCAACACCAGGGAAACTCGTCTGCCCCCCTC